TCTYCMAYTYTYYCYWMTYYKTYSTTMKSTKTKKTTWKKTKTKTTKTTTTGTTTTGTCTTTTTACTTCACTAAGCTTCTCACTGGCTTCTTTGCCCTTCTAAATTCTGGCTACACCCTGAATGTCTCCTCCCCTGAAAGCAGTTTCTATTTTTCAACTCTTTGTTAACCAGAAAATTCCAGATGTCTTTCTCTTTGTTGGTTTTTGTTGTTTCTTAAGCACACCCTTTCAAAGGTCTCAATGATCCCCATGAACTGTCCTAGCAAACAAAAGCATGTCCCCCACCCTGCTATGTCTTGGAACCAACTATGACAAGAAATCTTTGAGCGTGTGTATTATGACCCTAGCATATGGTTGTGGGCAGGGGGACAAAAAGAGAAATGGAGAACACTAGCCACTGAACAAGTCCTGATAATTCCGTTATCCAAGGGAACTCACCATTCATTAAACTGCTGTTGCATATATTCTGGACACTTTTCTACTATCTCACAAAATTTAAAGAACAGTTTTTCCTGACCCCATTTGGAGGGGGGTGATTTGGGGTCACAGCTAAGTTCCTGCCTCCCCACTTGACTTGCAGAGGCTGCCTACACTCTCCTGTTGTATGATGAGCTGCTGGAGTGGTCGGATCGGCCCCTCAGAGAGTTCCTGACCTACCCCATGCAAACAGAATGGCAGCGCAAGGAGCACCTGCACCTCACCATCATTCAGAACTTTGACAGAGGCAAAGTAAGTAGCCCTGCCTGACCCATGGTCTCGCCTGAGGTGACTATTGGCGTCCCTTTTCCTTTGATTTCTAGTGTACGGATGCTTACCTCCTTGATCAGGAATCCTCACACTTTAATGTGCATTAGAACTTRTTAAAATGCAGATCCCCAGGCTCTGCCCTAGACTTTCTGATTAAGTAGCATGGGGCTGCAGAATCTGTGTTTTTTTTTAAGGAGGACTCCAGAAGTTTCCCATGTGTACAAACTTTGCATTACACTTTGATAAACTCATCTTGAGGTTTCGATACCCAGTCATAGTTCATAGACTGGATGGCTAATGAACAGAAGAAATTCAAGCCAGCTCTCTGGAGCCCCTTTTTAAGGGCACTGATGCCATTCATGAGAGTTCCACCTTGGTGACATATTCACCTCCCAAAGGACCCTCCTCCTAATATCATCACCTTGGAAGGTAAGATTTCAACATGTGAATTAGGAGGAAACACAAACATTCAGACCGTAACACTTAGCTATTTTATTTTCTGAAAAACCATTATCAACCTTCATGTGCTGTCCATATTGGCATATATTCTGCCCCATTCCACTTTTTTGTTTAAAATATAGAAAACTAGATTTGCTAAAGAAGTTTATGGCATCCCTCATATTTAGAGATGCCTGGGGTTTTGAAAACACTTACTACAATTAAGTACTTTGCCCCACATCACTTCCTCTCCTTCTTTAAGGGCTCACAGTTCTCTTTTTTAAACAATTGTGAATCTGACCACCAGGGCTCACAGTTCTCTTTTTTAAACAATTGTGAATCTGACCACCACTGTTTATTTGATCAGAACCATTGGATGTTTTAGTGGTATATCTTGGATTTAAATATCTCTTCCAAATTGCAAAAATTAAACCGAAAAAATTAAAACACAACTAGTGGCTGTCATTCTTGTACAGAACAAATTTGGGTATGCCTAAAAATGAGATGCAAGGAAATTGCTTCTTTCATATCCTCCTCTATTATTTATATGACTACGCTGTCATAGCATTATGTTAGTAGCAAAAGAAATGGCTTTGTACCCTCCTGTTATAAATTTTTTACCTATATGATAAACTGTTATAACATTTCTTGGCTTCCTATATTGGACCATTTCCAGGAGTTTGTGCCAGACCAGAGTTTGCAAACTGTGACCCTCAGGTCAAATGGCTTACCTCCTATTTCTATACAGCCTACAAGTTACAAATAGCTTTCACATTTTTAAGTTCTTGAAAGAAATTGAAAATGAATATTTCATAGCATGTGAAAAATAGGTGAAATTTACTTTTGTGTTCTAATTCTTATTAGAACACAGCCATACTCATTCATGTCTATGGAGGTTTTCATGCTATAACGGATAAATGGCTGTGGCAAAGACTATATGGTCCTCAAAGCCAAAAATATTGACTGCCTGGCTCTTTGCAGAAAGTATGTTGCCTATGTTAAAACAATGACTTTTTGCATTTCTATTGAGAATACCCAGCTGGGTTGGACCCGTACAATTTGCAAATGCAAGTTAGCCCAGCAAGGAATGGAGGTACCAGCCCAGATAACTGGACCTTAGGGTCAGTAATCCTTCCCTCCCCAGCACTGAGGGCCTGTGCGTATCCATCTACTTGGCCATTGTGGAACTGCAGTCATTTCAAGATGATGATTCTGAACAACACCAGAAAATATTGTTCCTGCACCATATGTTAATGACTGTAGTGGTGTGGTATCATTTCCAACTTTCTCTAAAGCTTTTAAGTAATCTGTATGTTAATTACATAGTGTTTTCATATTTAAAATTTCAGAGATACTATTCAAGTTATGTTATAAAGATTAAGGAGTAAGACTTCATGATATGAACGCAGTCATATCCTGACCTTTGGATGCAAAGTTATATAATACGTTTGGGTTACAGTTACATCATTCATTTATCCACAGTGCTGGGAGAATGGCATCATCTTGTGCCGGAAGATCGCAGAACAGTATGAGAGTTACTATGATTACAGAAATCTGAGCAAGATGAGGGTAAGCTACCTGGGTGCGTCCTAATCAAGATGCACCCTTTTTGATTAACTTTCCACTGTAGTTCTATGAAATCAGCTTTGTGATCATCTTGATATACCTTGTAGGAACCTTTTATAAGTGTTTTCTCTGAAGCGTACTCATCTGTGTAATGCAGAGAAATAGCAAATTGATCTGTGTAATGCTTTTGTTAATATACCAAAAGTGACTCCTTCATCTGTTTCTAAAATGCATCGGAAATACACAATTTAATCTAGGATTAATATTTTAAGTTTATTGTGGAAAATCTCCACACTGTTTGAAGAACTTTCCAGTTGTACACATATCTCTAACTATATGCCATTCTTAGTTTCATAATCTGCAAAGCAAAATAGTAGAAATGACTAGCTAGCCCATTTTAAAATAAATTTAGGGCCACATTGTGTGTCACCTCTCTTTAGTTTCAGAAAATACAGTTTCACTGAACTTAAATCAGGTTTTAGTACCCCCAAAAGACTTTAATGTCTTTGTTCTGAGCCAGTTGTTTTGTATCACCTTTGGTTTTAKGTTCATACAAGTACTTCTTGTCCTCCAAGTCCTTATTCTTGGGCATCATGAACATTTTGTGTCACTTTGTAATATTTAATGAGTGCTAAAGTTTTTTTTTTTGGATTTCTAAAATAGGATCATCAGCTTTTATATATTAAAAAAAAGACCATGATATCACCTTTTAATCTTAGGTAACCATTTAAGAGGTGATAACATATACCTTTAATAGCTTTCAAAATTCCTTATACCATAAGTTACTTTTTCACCTGGAAGGAACTAGGTCCATACTCTTGGCATAGTATTTCATGTCAGCAGTTCATTGATATTTCTCCTAGCATGAAAAAAAAAATTCTTATTTTAACATCAGTTCATCGTGCTGACTCTGGCAGGCACTGCAGTTTTATATAAAAAGTGTTTCTGTTCTTCTCTTGGCATCCTGTCCCTGTAACAGAAGCGAGGTTACAATGTTTACCCGTGAGAGCCCTTGGGTGCCATAGACATTAAGATTTTTATAAACCCAAAGCATTACACTTCATACCAACTGCTCTTTGGGGTGTTGTTACTGAGGGTGGGGGGAAGTCTTCAAGTGCAGTATTAGTCTTTCTCCAGAAACCCTGGAGATGATAATCATACCTTAAAAGGGAAACTATAAGCTTTATATGCTCCATAGTTTGCACATTTTCAAAGACGCGTACTTAAGAGCTTTCAGTCCAGACGGCACTTTGYACTGTGGGTCTCCTTTGGTTTGGTTGGTTGGTTTACCCCTGTCCCAACCTGTGCAAGTTTGCACCTTCCAAATGCATTACCAGGTACAAGGTGGAGACAAATCCACAGGTGAGTATATCTGGCATGAGAATGCTCCAGAAGGGTTTTGCTTCTAATTTTTTATGTAATTTAATTTTGAAGAAAATATCCCCTCAATAGACTACATGCATAGAGATAATTTGCTCTGTTGATAACATGTAATAATATACCTGGTCCTTTAAACAAGGGTCACCAAACTATAGCCTGTGGGCCTAGCAGGGTTGATTAGTTGTGACAGAGACCACATGGCCTGCAAAGCCTAAAATATTTGCTCTCTGCATGCTTCTAGATTGTTTGCTGATCCTTGCCTTAAAGCATAAAAAAAGGAGTCAATCTTCTTTTCTTCAACTGAATTAAAATGAAATTTTCCTTTACACAGAAGAAATATTCTCTTCTATTAACTGGTAGGGCTGAAAGATGGGTTAGAATACTTATAACCTCTCTGATATCTTCCTAGATGATGGAAGCCTCTCTATATGACAAAATTATGGACCAGCAGCGTCTGGAACCAGAATTCTTCAGAGTCGGGTTTTATGGGAAAAAATTTCCATTTTTCTTGAGAGTAAGTAATAAACTGTTTAATTAGCTTTCATCCTACTCATACAGATAACTTCAATCAGGAAAACTAAAATATTAATGACTTTTTATGACTGATAATGACATCATGAGTTTTTTTTTTAATTTTTTAGTTTGCAGACACCATATTTAAGCTAGAATGCCTTGTTTTGAATAATTTCCCAAGAATCAACAATTTATCTCTAGGTTTATCTTACAAGGAGTCTTTGGTAATTTAGTTTCCCTCCTGTGATATTCACAGACTCCCAGTTTGTAATTTTCTTACAGTTGGCATTAGAGAAAAACAGGTGGAGGTGGGGAAATGGAACACCACACGGGGTTGGGTGCTACAGGCTGTGTACGTCAGTTTTACATCAACTGTGAAAGGTAGGTTCTGGAAACATACACTCTCCACAAGGTTCTGGAGGTATGTGTGTGTGGTACTGGGGGTTGAACCCAGAGTCACTTTGACACTGAAATATATCTCCAGCCCTTGATTTTGAGACAGGGTGTCACTAAATTGCCTATGCTGGCCTTGAATTTGTGATCCTCCTGTCTTAGCCTGAGTAGCTCAGAGTAGAGGCATGTGCCACTACACCCTGCTATCCATACAACTTTTAATTCTTTTAAATATCAGAAGGGGGAAAATGGACATTTAAGTTGAAGAAAATTTTGTAATATACTATATATTATATATTATGCATTAGATAATGTTAGTGTCTCTTTACCAAACCAGTCATAATATAATTTTGAATATTTTTTATGAAGCAAGAAGCCTGTGAAGGCAAAGTACCTAAGGCCCCCTAAAGTCATAATGAAGCCCTGATCAAACTCTGAGTTTTGCTAGCAAGTGCACAGTGAGGTACCCATACAGCTATATATTTTGTGCAATTATTGTAAAAGTGTAGACCTTTTAAAAGTAGTTGAGAAGCCATAATTATAAAAAGAGTTTAGGAAATTGGAAAACTTCACTGGCTGATGCAGTAAATCTTGCGTAAAAGTCAGTTACAATAAATCAATCTCTATATCATCAGTCTTCTGAAAACAGCTTTTCTGGACATAATTGGGATTTCCTTCAAAATGAAAGAGAAGGGTTACCCTCTATTGGTTTCTAAAGGGCACTGCAGGGCCTCACTTTGTGTGTGTGTGTGTGTGTGTATGTGTGTATGAGAGAGAAAGAGAGAGAGCTCAGATTCTAATCTTTTTTTTCTATTTAAAAATAAACATCAGCTTTAAATTTTTTCTTTCATTATTTAATCAATTTCAAGATAATTTTTTAAAATTCCATAAATACCTTTATACAATTTTATGATCTAAGTAGGTTTTCTTCTCCTCATGCAAAGTTCGTTCTTGACCAACATGACCCAGCAGATCTGCTTGTAGGTATTTACTAAGGAAAACTGAAAACACAAAGATCTGTACCTGGGTGTTTATGGCAGTATTATTCATAATAGCAAAAAAGTAGAATCAGCTCAAATGTCTCTTAATTGATAAATGGTAAAGTAAACCAGCAACAAATAGCAATGAATTGTAAGGGCTGGGGACATAGCTCAGTTGGTAGTACCTCGCATGCACAAAGCCCTGGGTTCAATCCCCAGCACCACCACCAAAAAAAAAAAAAAAAAAAAAAAAAAGGAATGAAGTACAATTCCATGCCATGATGATGGAGAAGTTTGAAAATATTCTGTGAAATGAAAGAAGCCAGTCACAAAAGGCCACATTGTGTAATTCCATAATAGATAAATCCCTAGAAACAGAAAGTAGTTTGGGGTTTCCAGGGCTGGAGGAAAGTAAGTGACTAAAAGGACATGTGTGAGATTGGGCATGGGGTTTTTTGGGGGGATGATGGAAAATATTCTGATATTAAATTATTCTGATGGTTGTGCAATTCTATGAAAAACTTAAAAAATCCACTGAATTGCATGTTTTAAAATGTTGAATTTTATAGTAGTATGTGAATTATATCTTAATAAAGCTATGACTTTTAAAAACAGAATATTATTGAAGGAAAATGCTTAATTTCTTTTTATTTCATTTCAAATATCAGAGCCAAAGTTTTTCTTTCAAAATAGCTTCCTAACACTACTGAAAGATTATGCACTTAGAGTAACTGCTCTGATTTTACAAAGTGTTATTATATATAAGCATTGTTTTTAAACTATTTAAGTTTGGAAGTATTCAGATGTTTATTTTGGCACTCCTTTAGGAAGGGGTTGTGTTATCTCCTACTTTATCAAGAAAATGTATTATCTTTTAGTAAAATTGTTAAAATACAGCATCTGAAGGTACAACTTTCATTTGCATCAAAAGGTATAATTTGTATCTAGAAAGTTTTAAATTTAGGATCATTTAGGGTCCTAATTTCTAGATGGTTTGCCKTAACTTGTGTTTTTTCAAAGGATCACTATTAATTTAGAGATTTGTAGGAAACTGAGGTAGGTTCTCAGAACCTGTGCCACAGCTCTCTACAGCAAGTTTCTGACTCTCTCACTGTGACCTGGAAGTCTTCTTTGGGCATTTTATATAATAATAGGAACTTCAGGGAGCTGAAAAGCACTAAAAACCTGGGACCTTAGCTCCCAGGCTCAAACTGCTCTTTTCTTCTTTAGGATCTGGGCTCTCACTGGTAGCTCCTGGGAGGTTTTCCTGAGCATATCAGACCATGTTTGGAGTTTGCAGAGCTCAGTCCTTGGACTCAGACCTGAGTCTAAGTACTATGCACATGGACAAAGTGCTTAAAGCCTTTGAGTCTGTTCCCAGATTATAGAATGGAGTAGGGGTGTGTGACTACCTCTCAAGCTTGTACAGAGTAAATAAGTGTGGTGTGCCTGGTCAATAACTATACTCAACATTTTAATTTCATGATCATGAAACWGTCAGAAAGGGTTCCCTCGTATCTAACCAGCCCATTAAGATACCTTTCAAAAACCTGCCTATCTTCCCACCTCTCTGGCTGACCTCAAGAATAACCTTCAATATCCCCACCCAAATGAGACAGAGTTCTGACCCACAGAAGACATATTATATATTTTTTAAAAATCCATCAGAAATATGTTTAACATTTAGCAGGATCCTGAAACTCCAAAATCCTAGTTTCAGGCAGTTAAGACGATTCCTGGCTACAGGCATCTGAGCTGAGCTGGTTATGACAGGGAAGTTTCTTTGCCAGCCCTTTTGAAAGCTGGAATACAGATGGGCTCAATTTTCCTTCCTCCGGAAGGCTGTGTTCAGTGGAAGTGTTAAGGCTGACCTTAGAAGCCTTTTAAAAAGAATGCATTTTTAGTTGTTGTATTTGCTTTTTTTTCCCTCCAAATTGTGAATTTATGTGCATAAGTTTGACATCCGGTTTATAAGAATCATCACATGTGTACATTAGCCTTTAGATGGAACACGATTGCTTCATTTTGTTCTTTGGTACTCTGAGAATCAGACACATCGTTGCACTTCCTACAAGTGAACTGGGAAGAGTGAGGTATTCTATTGGGTCCCCATAAGAGCAATAGAGAGTGAAATGCATGATCTTTGCCCTGCATTTTTAATATTATCTCTGTAATAAATGCCATCACCTATATAGTCCTAATTTTGTTTTTGGTTTCACCCCCTAGAATAAGGAGTTTGTGTGTCGAGGGCATGACTACGAGAGGCTGGAAGCCTTCCAACAGAGAATGCTGAACGAGTTCCCCCATGCCATCGCCATGCAGCACGCCAACCAGCCTGATGAGACCATCTTCCAGGCAGAAGCTCAGTGTATCCACACCTGGAAGGCTCACTCCAGTCAGGTCACACTGGCTGCTAACAGCAGAGCATTTGCACACTGGGCGTTTAGCCCCTGGGCCCTTCTCAGTAGCCACGTTCTTATTCTTCCTCATCTTCTTAATTTTAGCCCAGATCCTTCTGAACAGGAATTGTTCTATTTATTATCATAGTGTCAGATGAAAAGAAATCCCTTACGGATTCTGYTGAAGAACTTTTTCCCTTTTAATTAAAACTCCTCTGTATCTCAACCTTGCTTTTAAAGCTCTTTTTAGTGATTGCCCTTAGAATAATTTTCCTCTGACTTATCTTGTGGAAGCTACTTCAGCTCAGGATGATAGCAGTATGTTCAGGGGTGCAGATGCAAATCATTCACTCCTTATTCTGGAATGAAGGAGGGRAGAAAAAGAGATCTCTTCAGCATCTTCTGGAGACTTAGCTATGACATCTGGGACACCTTTAGTAGTTACCATGCAGTTCACACATCCATCATCTAAACACAAGCAAGTCAGCTTAAATCACACAGATGTTATAGGCAAAGGCAGTTCATCACCATACTTCTTCCTGAATTCCTCTGCCTTTGCCTGAAACTGATGGTCTTAAAGAACATATAAAACTCCAAGTGACAATTATGGATACCATCTCAAAGCAGAAGCCAAAATGCAAGAGAAGGAAGAAAGTACATGAAAAAAAATTTGCTTTATTAGAATTAGAAGAGTTAGTAAACATACAAGTAAATATGGGAGCCCTTTAATGGAGTTTTTTTAAATGTCAATTATACCTAAACATCTAAATACCTGGTTTAGGAGAATGGAAAAATACAATTATGGTCACAGCATCACACATGGAAATGTAAGTCATTGTCAGTGTTCTGGTTTCTGTATTTGGTCATGGCAACATAAGGGTTTACTTAATACTATAAACAAACAATAAGTTCTAAAGGGCCATGTACAAACTAAGATAAAAGTGCTTCACCAGGCCTGGTGGCATACACCTATAATCCCATCTACTTGGGAGGCTGAAGCAGGAGGCTCTCAAGTGAGCCAGCCTGGGAAGCTTGGTAAGACCCTGACTCAAAATTCAATTTTCTTTTTAAGGTTTACAGTTCTTTTTTAATATAATTATTTCATTTGTCTATCTATTTATTTATTTTTATGTGGTGCTAAGGATTGAACCCAATGCCTCACACATGTTAAGCAAGCACTCTGCCACTGAGCTATAGCCCCAGCCCTGAAAATGTAATTTTTTTAAAAACGAAGGCTGAGGCTATAGCTCAGTTTTAGAGCATTTGCCTATCATATACAAGTAGATTTGATCCCCACACATATTCACACACAAAAAATAGTGTCTCACATACAAGGATTAGGAGTGATCTGAGTAACTAATATCCAAACTATCCCCCCTACACACACATACACACACACACACACACACACACACACACACACAAATCAGTAATAAGCTTGGTAAGACCAATTCATAGGCCATGGGAATTTAAACCTGACCCTTTGTCAGAATCACCTACCTAGAACTAGTTCAAGGCCTATAGTTTGAGATATGATTTCAAGTGTGTTTCTAACATCTTTTTGGCAATTTTATAAATGACTTCAACCTAAATGGAAACACCAGATTGTTAACAATCCTCTTCTCTCCACACAGCTCAGCTCGAGCCAGACTTCTTTTAAGTTTGCCAASTTCAGGTTCTCTCCTTGACTCTTTAATCCTAGATTTGCAGATATATGCTGTAACCCCTATTCCAGAGAGCCAGGAGGTCCTGCAGAGAGAGGGTGTTCCGGACAACATCAAAAGTTTCTATAAAGTGAATCATATCTGGAAATTCCGCTATGATAGACCATTTCACAAAGGCACGAAAGATAAGGAGAATGAATTCAAGGTACCATGCAGTTCTTATTGCATTTTTCTCCTCATACTCTCTTCTAGACTATGAGTTCCTTGGGGCAAGATTCTTCTGGTAAATGCTCAGAATAGTGACAGAGCCAWAAGGGGCTCTAGAAATCCCTTAGTATAGTGGTTCTTCAACCCTTCCACGTATCAGATTAATGGGGATTGTTTCCTACAAGAAGAATTTTGACCCCCAAGCCCAGGAATTCTGTCTTGGCTGTGGGAAGAGGTTCTGAAATCAACTTTCTTCTTAGAGTTCTAATGCCAGTGGTCCTTAGACCTGTCTTTGAAAACTCATGGTTGAACTCAGTCCTCTTGCCTATTCATGTTGAACCCATTGAGGGAACCTCAGGATATCCTCAGATACAAGAATGAAATTAGTAAAGAATATTTCAGGAATGGGGGATGTTGAGACAGAAAACAGGCGATCCTGAGACAGAGAACAGGCGGATAAACTGCTAGTACAGTGGGTGAATTCTGTGCCATCTTTGTTGTTTTTCCTCATTAGAACGGTGTGTAATTAGGATTTCTGAGAGAACCCAAAGTAAAGGCATGTGTTGTGTTGTCTGCTCAGTAGCTCCAATATGCCTTCCTAGTTCAGCTTGCTCCCAGCCAAAAAGGGTAAGAGTTCTGCAACCCCATGGGGAGAAGGGTCCAGATTGTTTGGCACATAAATTAAAATCTTCCCTTTCTTTGAAAACAGAGACACAGTGAGACCAGATAAATCCCCAGTTAGTCAGTTTTTGCACTTAATCAAAAAATTCAAGGTGAATTTATTATTGGAGTTCATTGGCTTAGCATCTTTCATTACAGATATTCTCTGTTTGAGCTAGGAAGCATTCTCCTAATACTTTTCAGTCAGAATTACCTAATGTTAGCCAGACACAGAGGTGTATACTTGTAATCCCAGCAACTTGAGAGGCTAAGGCAGGAGGATCACAAGTTCAAGGACAGCCTGATAGCAAGACCTTGCCTCAAAGTAAAATAAAAATGGCTGGAGATGTAACTTAGAGCACTTGCCTAGTGTATGCAAGGCAGTGGGATCAATCCCCAGTACCACTAAGTACATATGTACATACGTACATGCAAACCTACTTACCTGTCTACCTAATGTTGTCTCACCTGTCAGCCCTACCTAAATGTTGGTTCCCAGTCCTCCCAACAGTCACTCCAGGGATTATTCACCTTTAAGAAATCAGAAAAGAAAACTGTGATTATTTTGCAGAGTTCCATTAGAGCTGAATAAAGGACAGTTCTTTGTGCAGGAAGGTTTGGTGGGTTATGTAGCAAGCAGGGAGACCACTGGAAAACATCACTGTGATATTACTGAGAAGATCCATGATCGTTTTCTAGTCCTTTCTAGATACTTCTGTTTCTCTTTTTGCCTCTAAAATCCACTGAAGATCTAATTAGTTTATGATGTAGTTCTCTTTGCAGTTGCTTCCAGTGATAACAAGTCAGAGATGCACTGGAGCCAAACAGCTGACTTGCTCCAAGTCCCATGCTAATTACCTTTATGCACAGCACTGGAACCCACATCTTCTAACACCCTCTCCATCACTATCTCCACTGCACCACATTTCCTCGTGGCCCTCGCTTTATATATTTATCATTGATACAGCAACCCTCTGGGGCGGGGGACAGTAAATCTGGCTCCTCATTTTTGTGCTTTCAGCCCTCAGAATTGGCTCCAAACAGCACCCCCAAGCCTGTATCTACCACAACCCACTCACCCACYCTCTCCCTCAGTTCCAGCAACACCCAGCTTCTCTCCTTCTCTGTCAYGGTGCCCTTTCACAAGCCACTCGGCTCTGTGCGGGCTGCTTCCTCCTGCCTGTGCAGCTACCCCCACTCTCCTCCTGGCAAACTCCTACTCACTCTTCAAAATTCAGCTCACGTGTCACCTCCTCTGAGGGCTGCCATCCCCCTCCTCAGCATGGCATGAACACCTGCATCCCTCGCTGCAACTTGCATGTTCCTTCTCTTCCTTCCAAGATCTTATTTATCTGCTCACCTCCCTGTCACCACCCGAATGCTGTGAAATCTTGTCACAGTGACACTGCCGTGTTCCTTTCGATAATTCGCAATGGGCATAAACAAATCCTTCCTTTTTGTTGTTGTTGTTGTTGAATAAATGGCACAATTTCAGGCATTTCATATCCTCTTGGTTTAAATAAGAAAAATGAGGCATAGGTAGAAAATGGGTTGATGAAAGAGAAAATTGTCACAACAGCAGCTTGTGCCAAAGGCAGCTGTGTCCTGAGGGTGCTAGTCCTGGTCAAAGGGAGCCCTGGGCCAACTCAAAGGTCAGTCTAAATTACAATGTTTTGGGTGGACCCAGCGGAGGAGGAGGAGTTGGCAGAGGTGGCGACAGGTTCTAGGGGTGGGGTCAGTGCGGCTCTGCAGGTGAATAGTGCGCTGCTTTTCAGCAGGTCCATTGTCTCTTAAGGTTTAAAGTGTCTTCACTTTTAAAATGGAAAGATCAAGCTGCATRATCCCTAAAGCTCTTTTTTTTTCTTTAGGATACCGGTTATTGTAGTCTTGCGTTGACTAGCTCCTTCAGTTCCTTCTTTCCAGTGAAAATGACTAAACCTTGAGGGACAAAGAGTTTGAATTCACACGTTAGAGAAATAGCAAAGAATGTAACATGATGGCCTATTTTTATATTTTAAAGCTTGCTTTCTGAAGCACGAGCTCATTTATTCTACATAGAAAAAAGTTTCAGGCACCATACAATGGATTTATTAGCATAAGCTTCAGCAGCATCTTACTGTTATAAGTTTCTTGAGTGCTCAAGCGAAGACTAAAGAAAAGGTGACAAATAAGCAAAACCTGATCGCATTAGTCATAGCTCAGTGCCTAGAAAGAAGGGCAACGGGGGACTTCATTTGTTTTCTGTTTTGTAGAGCCTCTGGGTGGAGAGAACATCATTATACTTGGTGCAGAGTTTACCCGGCATCTCCCGCTGGTTTGAAGTGGAGAAGCGTGAAGTGGTAAGGACCCGAGCTTATTCTCAAGTACTTTCTCATCACAGTAGCTCACCTGGAATCATGCTGGATATTAATTGCTTCTGTTTTTGACTCCAAGTCCCTGGATTCACTCATAGTAAGTTAGTGAATATTTATGATACTGACTGCTGTTACTAAGGCTGTGATGGTGAACATTAACTTTGTCCTAGTCCATCCAGCCAGAYAAATTCCTTGAAAACAGCTGTGACTGCAGCCTATAAAAAACTACTTGGACCCTTGAATGAGAAGAAGTGAAATTCAGCTCTCCTAATTGCTCTAGATAGCTAAGTAACCTTCAGTGTGTAGGTGGCAGACCAGTGTCAAGAAGGCTGCCTACCATGTCTTACTGGATCATCATATTCAAGCTATGCATTCTTATATCAGAGTAATGTATTCTTTTCCCAAGTTTCACAATTTTTAACAAGAGACTAAAAGCTTTTGCCAGAAGTTACATAATAAAATGTTGAAAACAGGACAGTCTCAAACTCAGATTTTTCTGATTCCAAAGCCAGTGGTGTTCATCTCTCCTAGCCTTGGTTTCCTTATAGGCAAAATGAAGCTAATATAAAGTCCCAGCACCATGTATGACACACATAAGTCTATACTATGGCAGTCTCCAGTAGAGGGGATGGTGTGATATTAGTAACTGAGCTGTCCTGCATGGAGTACCAGATAGAGATCAGTAGATGCCATTATAGAACCTGGTAGACACAGCACTAAGCTGATTGTCAAACACACCTTTGGTTCCACTCCCCAGAAGTGAATAACAAGGAGATAGTAGCTGGAGGCAGCCACATTGAGGATGATACCCAGCATACTGCCATCTCCACTGCTCTTCAGGCTAACAGCATCTGAAGTCAGCCACAGCCCTGACTCTCCCAGCATCCCTCCTGCTCTTAGCGTATCTGTTATGGCTGGATCTGGTCCTCTATCTGAAAGAAAGTGTGCCAACTGTGAAAGTATAATTTAACCCATACTTTATTTAGATAACAGGGCCACTYTGTCAATGAATAACAGCAGCCCCTGCCCAAATTGTCTTTCCAGAATGGCTAGTCCTACCCCAAATCGCTCAGCATTCAAACTCAGCTTATTATGTTCAATTAAGCTAAGGATTTAATGGGATTTTCATTTTGCAGTGACAAAAAAATTAATACAGCTCCCTAAACTAATTGAACTCAATTTAGCAGATTGCATCATTGCAGTTGTATTCTTGTTTAGTGTGAATCAAGGATCCCCCAAAGCTGGTACGGCCCGGTGTCCTCCATGGAAAAGAGGAGACTGCCAAACCTAGTGGTCAGAAAGTCTTATTATTATGTTTCCTACTGAATGGCATGGACCAACCCACAGAAGGGCTCTTGGTCATCCATGCTGCGATAATGATTCAGAAAGCCCTGTTAGATCCATCAAACCCAGAGCATTAAATCCAGTGAGGTCTTACCAGTGGTCCTAGCTCTTGAAACACACACATACACAAACACACAGCATGCTGGTAATGATAAAAAGAGCTTACTAAACACAGCCTTTCAAACATCAGCTGCCTACTTTATTAGAATATGTAATCTTATGTTCTGTCAGAACAAATCAAACTCGGCTACTTGTTCCCTGAGCACAGCCCACTCTTAGGAGCCTTTGTGTTGTTCTCTTGTTCCTGCTGCCTGGAATGTTCCACCATCTATTAAAGTTACTGACTTGCTGGTTTAATTCCTATTATATAAGGCCATCAGGAACACAGATATGTTGAAGTAGGTCTGCAATAAATATATGCCAAAATGAATTGAGATTCCTTGTCTGCAATGCCCAAATCTGAGAACCAAAGATGTTTACATTGGTTTGACTTAAAAGTCATTTGCTTATATATCTAAGCTCTTCAATGTAAGGCCATTTATTAACTTACTAAGTGAATGCTTATAAGCTTCACTGCAGAAATATTTATTCAGTTGATTAAAGGAAACTGCCCAGAACCTGATGGGGATTATTGAATTATATGCCCTATATTACCTTTCTAAAATCTGAAAGTTCAAGGAGCTGGGGCTATAACTTAATGGTAGAGCATTTGCCTAATGTGCAAGACCCTGGGTTTGATCTCTTGCACTGCTGAAAAGAAAAGAGAAAATCTGAAAAACTATAAATTCAGAAACGTGGSATTAAAGGTTTCATATGAAGTTATAGATCTTTATTTTTTAAATCATACATCCAGATAGCTTATAAGATTTTGTGAAAACACTAATGCCTTTAAATCTGTAGTTCATTTGAAGAGCACTTTGTCATTTGATTCGACTTGGCTCTCTCGACAAATGAATGCTGAGTGTAGATGATCATCTCATTTTCTTAACTCCCAACTGTATGCCGTCTTGTGCTGTGCATACGAAGTCCAGTCTGTCTGGGCTTGTGTCCCCTCTTCTCAGCTATTGTGGTTTAGATATGAGGTATCCCCCGAAAGCTGTGTGAGGGAATGCAAGAATGCTCAGAGGTGAAATGATGAGGTTGTGACAGCCTCAACCTAATCTGTGGATCAGTCCACTGCTAGGGATTAACTGGGCAGCAACTATAGGCAGGCAGGGTGTGGCTGGAAGAAGTAGGTCATTCGGGGTATGCATTTGGGTGTATATTTTGTTCCTCTTGAGAAGAGCTCACTCTTCTCCTGGCTCTCATGTCCTGAGCTGCTTTCCTTGGCCACACCCTTCTACCCTGAAGTTCTGCCTCACCTTGGGCCCAGAGCTATGGAGTCTGCTGATCATGGACTGAACCTTTGAAACCGTGAGCTAAAACAAACTTGCTCCTCTGAGTTGTTCTTGTTGGGTCTTTTGGTCACGGCAATGTTTCAGCTGACTAAAACACCAGCTGAGCTGAAAGCTCCTTTGACACCAGAGGATCTACAAATGATCTTTATTGTCTCCCATGGTGCTTTGTATCAAATAAGCATCTAGAAAGATAATAGTAATATTTGGGGTCTCTCAATATTTAGTCCTTCAGAAGAAAAGAGAACCATGGGATGCTTGGATTTTAAGGAGTGAATTCATTGTTACAGTACTAATTAGAATGAATGAATGATGATTATCCAAACCACATTCTAATCAATGAATATAATTACCTGCCCTTTTCAGACCTTACTGATGAACAGTTAACTTGACTTTCACGTCCTTTTCTATTTTACTGCATGGCTCCTGGTAGAAGTATTGGTAATTCAGAACATAGATCATCTACTTTTTTCTTCCTCCTCCTTCTTCTTTCTCTTCTTTTTCTTTCTTTTTCTTTCCTTTCTCCTCCTTACTTCTTGAGTGTTTCAAAAGTCAATATTATATATATATATATATATATATATATATATATATATATATTTTCATGCTCATTTGCTTATCAGGTTGAAATGAGTCCTCTGGAAAATGCAATTGAAGTTTTGGAAAATAAGAACCAGCAGCTGAAGACACTGATTAGTCAATGTCAAACAAGACAGATGCAAAATATTAACCCCCTGACCATGTGCCTGAATGGAGTCATAGATGCTGCAGTTAACGGTGGGGTTTCAAGGTACCAAGAGGTGAGAATTAGGGATTGTTGTTTGAGAGAAAGTTTTCAGTTTTGATTTCTTAGGGTGTCATGAATCTTTTCAAAATATGTGTTCATATCACCATACATACAAATGGCTACAATTGACACATATATAGTCCTTTGTGAAATAGCATAAATGTATAGCCATTTGTGATGTCCACTTACTCCATTTCCCCAACATGTAATGTTTTGAGGATGTGTTTATATGAATAAAAGTAGTAAAGATATCAGGATTGCTTAATGAATGTTTGTCTAAAATAATTTGTATGAGCAAAGAGGTTCCTGGGTGTAGAAAAGTCTGATCTTGTTTAGACAATCCTTTAAATGGACTTTTCCTCTGCCCTTTTAGTTTTAAACAGAAGTACGTAGTCACCTGAAGGATGAGGCCACCATCTTGGTCATSCTGAATCATGCAACAATTTATTTTAGGCTAGAATGCCCTATATCTTATTGACATGGGTTTGCTTTTTGTTTATTTTACCAAAGGTACTTACTGTACAATCTCTGATCTTCTTTTAACAATCTTTTCCTTATGTTCCCTTCTGACCAGCCACCCACACTAGGAATCATTCCATCTGTCCCCAAGTGGTTTATAATCATGTCATTTCTCTTAAGATGCCAGGTCTTTAAAAACAACAACTGTGTCTTTTACTTCCTTGGTAACTGTCCTGAAGTAGACTGTCCCTTCTCCTCCTAGGCATTCTTTGTCAAAGAATATATTTTAAGTCATCCTGAAGATGGGGAGAAAATTGCACGATTAAGAGAGCTGATGCTTGAGCAGGTAAGTGAGACAGAAGCCAATCACCTTCTCTCCATCTTGCCTGGTACGTGCTTACTTACCAGAGGCCCGCCTACATTGTTCTCTGAATCAGTGGTCTACTAAAGTGGTGATCGGGAGTTAACAGGCACACCTGTACTGCATCCCAACTAACTAATTTCTACTCTTTCTTCCCACTTGAATTCAAAAACAAATTTAACAATGAATGAACTATGGCAGCCCATAATAGCAAGCACTTCATATAGTCTCTTTGAATGTTCTTTCCCCAAAAGACTTTCTGTAGGCTTATTGCTGACTTCTCACTCAAAAATTTGTGCGTAAATAAGTTCAGGCTACCTGAAAGTAAATGAATGAGTGCATGAATGAATGAGATTATTATGCAAATGTTATAATTAGGAAGTGGACAATCAATAGAATTTTCTTTATAACAAATATTGTGCTTTACAGACTATGCCTATAGATGATATAGAATGTTCAAAATTAAATAGAACTCTCCCCGCCCCCCCCCTTTTTTTTTTTTTTTTTTTTTGGTACCAGGGATTGAACTCAGGGGCACTCAACCACTGAAAACAAACAAACAAAAAAAAACTTTAACAATGAATGAACTGTGACAGCCACATCCTCAGCCCTATTTTTGTATTTTATTTAGAGACAGGGTCTCTCTGAGTTGCTTAACACCTTACAGTTACTGAGGCTGGCTTTGAACTCCAGATTCTCCCAAGCATCTGGGATTATAGGGATGCACCACCACACCCAGCTAGAACTCATCATTTTCTACTCCAAAAAAAACATTGTTTATATTTACTTATTTGGTACCATCAGTTAAAAGAACTGGAGTGACTAATCTGTTGACTGCTGTGTACTTCCAAGATTAAGCTCTTCCAGGATTATAGCTTTTGGCCTAAAAATGGTTTGAATACCTCAGAGGTAGGAGAGACATGATTAGAAATCTAAGTGAAATGGGAAATAAAGGCATTTTATTCCCAGGAAAAGTGGAGCATGTATGATAAAATGGGGAAAAGCATCTCTCCCCACTTGATAACACCAAAGTGATAAACAAAGCRTGTTCTTTTAGATTAGAAAGTGATGAAGTTGTATCTGATTTTAGTCCATATTTTATGCTCACTGGGCTCAGTCCACAAAACTTGCCATGGATGAAGATACTTGTACAGCTTCTGGAAAAGAAAGAGGAATTACTTGTCATTGATCTGCAGTGAAATAGAGAATAAATCAAGTTCTCAGTGTGACCCCGGGTGGGATGTAGCTATTAGAATTAAACAGGTTAGGTCATCTAATTCCTAGGAGTATGGGATGGCTTTAACCTTGGTTGATTTTTTTTTTTAATCTACATTTTACCTGAGCATGATCTCATGTGAATGCTTTGCTTCAGGCTGTGTCTGCTGTATTCAGCCTGACTAAATTTGTTTCCCCAGAGTTAAAGTAGTAGCTCAGGGCCAAGAAGCTTCCCAGGAAAAATAACCAGGGAGCATTTATTTACACCACATCATGCCTAATTATGTACCAGGACCTTTGGGGAAGACTGTAGCCTAGGAAACAAGATCTCTTGTATAGATAAGAGGTACAAATGACTTGTCATGTGATCCCCTGTTTRTGGGACCATTGATTAGGGGCCTGAGCTAGAGAATGTGCCATCCTTCCCAGGTAGCTCAGATAAGCTATCTGTTGCCATATAGAGGCACTGCCCTGTGCTCCTTCCTGGAGCATGGCCCTTGACAGACACATCCAGCTGTCAGGTCCTTTGAGGATTACCTCAGCTTCAGAGAGCCACCTGGCCCACAGCACTATCTTCCAAATGGTGCACCTCCAAGATTAAGGGGAAAATATAAGCCTGGCCAATTGGGGCAACATGGGAGGACACAGTAAAGCTCCACAGGGCTTAGGCAGTAGCTGGCCAGCTTGCCATGCAGCCTAATTTCTTTTTTCGACAAGTTCTGCTTCTGATCCACCAACAGATTCTCCCCAGCGAACATCCTAATATCCAAGCCAGAGTCTACTTCCTGAATGACCCAACTTGCAATGTTGTCTGACGAAAAGGGAGGTGGCTCRACAGCTAGCATTTAAAATGGAGAAGACTGGCAGCTCCTCTAACTAGACTAATCTCCTTCATCCTTCCCATCCCCTCAGGACAGAGGTCAACTGCACCTTTATCCCACTCTAGCTCTTTCTTTCAAAGGTGTCCTTCATATTTATTTCAAGGTGTTTTTCCCCTTTTACAAATGTGTTGGATAGGGTGGGCATCCAGAGTAGGCGTCGTCATTCATTGTTGCTTAGGGAAGCTGCTAGATTCTCTTATTCATTAGGGTCAGTTTTGTTTGGCTCTGAACTTCCAACCTAAAATCTTCAGGAGCTGGAAAGATACAAAACCTTGTGGTATAGTATCATTTGTTTTCCTCCCAGTCTCAGGAGTTGGTGGTACTGATCACTGTAGCATTTTTAAATTTCCAAGATAGCTGGTACTCAAATCAAAGGAATCATACACTATTCCCTTTTCTAGCTGAACAAAGGAGATAAACATGTTTATGTCCATTTCCTTTTGGGTCCTCACAGCAGGAAAACTTTTTAAGAACGACCTGTTCCTTTGTTGCATTGTAATTAGCAAACAAGAATAATATCTTAAAAACAAGAATCCCTGGGCTGGTAGCTCATGCCTATAATCCCAGTGGTTTGGAAGGCTGAGGTAGGAGGATCAAAGGTTCAAAGCCAGCCTCAGCAACTTAGCAAGGCTGTAAGCAGAGTCTGTCTCAAAATAAAAAAACAAAAAGGGCTGGGGATGTGGCTCAGTGGTTAAGCATCCTTGGTTCAAATTTAAAGAAGGAGAAGGAGAAGAAGCATATCAACAGTTGCAGAATTTCTGCTTGTTTTTTTCCTTCTTGATGGGGTTTGAAAATGTGGGAGGGATTTGGGGGTGGTCACAGAAGAACCTAATGGAAGAAAAGAGGATAACAGGAAAGAGAGACTGCCATCCAGAGAAGAGATTCCTGGAGGAGACCCGGTTGACCCTCCTAACAAGGGAGCAGCTCTTATCTTATGCTGGGAAGGGCAGGAAAGGGTCAAACTAACTGTTAGGAGATTTATATTTCAAGATCTAAAATACACAGAAAAAAAATTACGAAAAAACAAGTTTTTGGAATCAGACAGACCCAAGTTCAAATCCCCATTTGTCTTTGACTACGTGCAAGACTTTTCTGATCTTGTTTTCTCTCTCATAAAGTAACAATTGTTCCTCTCTTATGGGATCCAGAAGATTAGCAATAATGCATGCATACAGTGTTTGGTCCATAGCATACACTGTGAGAGATGGTCATTGATGTGGGTTTTTCCTTATGTTATTATCAAGGCCCAGATTCTGGAATTTGGTTTGGCTGTGCATGAGAAGTTTGTACCCCAAGATATGAGACCCCTTCACAAAAAGCTGGTTGATCAGTTCTTTGTGATGAAGTCAAGCTTAGGGATACAGGTATGTATGCTCAGTGTTCATAGTGGAGTAATCTGACTACTGCACTTTGCTTTTCCTTTTTCTTTTTGAAGAGACAAACAATGAAGCATCCAACAGTGACATCTTTTGGTTTTTCTGCCAAACTGCAGCACCAACCGGGGAGCCTTTAAATATTTAAAATGCATTGTCTGCTATTTGCCATGTTTATGTATCATGTAAACAACAATGTGAGGGAAGGTTTAGTAATTCTGGAATTTACCTTAATGGTTTCCTATGTAAAGATTTCATGGCATTTAGGACATGTATCTAGTACATTAAAATATCGTGACAGTTAGTTTGCCCATATCATCACTGTAATAAAATATTTCCTTTACCACATCTTTAGGAGTTCTCTGCTTGTATCCAAGCCAGTCCTGTTCATTTTCCTAATGGAAGTCCTCGGGTGTGTAGGAACTCAGCACCAGCTTCCATGAGCCCAGATGGTACCAGGGTAATTCCTAGGCGCAGGTAAGTCATATTTTGAATTACCTTACAATTTGGCATCCCCACAAGATGATCTGGAATGGTTCTCTCACTCTCTATGGCATAATTTGTCAAATGGGCTTTTTCTTAATGAAATAATTAACCCGCAAGGCAGCTGCAGACATCTGCCACTGGTAAAACAGCAACAGCATGAGAAATAAACAAACTCAAACATTTGATTATATTGAGGCAAACGGGAGACAACAAAATGGGATGTCTACTCTCCCCCCCTTTTGGTTTTATACCTTGCCAGCATGTGATAAAGTGCAATTTGGAAACCAAGTTAACGACCATTTTTTTTTTTTTTTTCCCTGAAACAGCCCATTAAGTTACCCAGCTGTCAACCGGTATTCTTCCTCCTCACTGTCCTCACAAGCTTCTGCTGAAGTAAGCAATATTACAGGGCAATCAGAAAGCTCTGATGAAGTCTTTAACATGCAGGTACTTTATTAGCTTTTTGTCTGGTCGTGTTTATTCCTTTTCTGTCTCAATCGTGAGAGTATCTGTTCATTCTGCTGTGCTCATGAACAGACCTTCAAGCAAGAACTTGACTTAAGGACAAACCTTTAAACGCTCTTATTGCTTTGTTGGTCTTTGGAGCCTGCAAAGATGTTTCCAAACTACCATCACTTTAAGAAGACATGAACAACAATGGAAAAGCCCAGGCAAGCCACCCAGGGTTAGCTTTGAGACCTACCATCCCCCCGTCCTGAATTTCTTGAAGTGTGTTGCCACACTAGCTGCCCCTCAGCATGTCCAGGTGGCTCTTTAAGAAAGACCTGGTTTCAGGGTTCATTAAAATTTTTTTYTCTACTTATATACATTATCATAAATTTTCTATAATAAAGTTTCTTTTTGGGAGGGGGACCGGGGATTGAACTTAGTGGCACTCGACCACTGAGCCACATCTCCAGCCCTATTTTGTATTTTATTTAAAGACAAGGTCTCACTGAGTTGCTTAGCGCCTCATTTTTGCTAAGGCTGGCTTTGAATTCACCATCTTCCTGCCTCAGCCTCCCAAGCCTTTACAGGCATGTACCACCACACCCAGCTATAATAAAGTTTTTATAAGAGAAAAAATATAGTTTTTAAATATTTTAGAGCCACCGTAAGTCTTGCAATGAAACATTTTATTTAGACATCACTAATATGGCATTTAGGATAGTTTAGTAGGACCGAGCTGAATTGTTCCCCCCACCTTCTTTGGAAAAGGAATACAACATGTATTTCCAAATTCATGCTTTGAATTCATTTTTTAAAAGAATGAGAAGGCAGTCCCTGTGCCTTTTAGAGACCTTCACCCAGGTACATGCCCTGGGCTGGAAGTCACTCTACTGACTCTTTGGGTGTGTGCTGCTGATAGGTATGCAGTCACAGACAGTAGCAGATATGAGTACACAGGTATTCCTTTGGTGTCAGTGAAAATCTCAGATTCTTGATTAATTCAGACAGGACTTATCAGYCTGAGTTTGTAAGATTTTTGTATATTTTTAAATGGCCTTTTGATGGTTTTTTTTTTTTTTTGCTAATTTGAAAAAAAAAATGTTGATGGTTTTGTTTCTAATGTATCCATGTCATTTGAAGCCTCTAAACAGTATGTAACAGCTCCCCATGTATTTCCAGCCAAGTCCATCTACCTCAAGCCTGAGTTCTACTCACTCTGCTTCACCTAATGTGACAAGTTCTGCTCCATCGAGTGCCAGAGGTCAGTGCCAGAATGTGGGGGAGACTAAGGGTGTCCAAAGAAACCTGTGGCCTACTGCCACCGAAGCTCAGCTCTTGCCTCTAAACAGGTCCAACATGGCACCACACATGATTCTTCCCTTCTCTTCCCAGCTTCTCCTTTGCTATCTGACAAACACAAACATTCCAGAGAAAACTCTTGCCTGTCCCCAAGAGAAAGACCCTGCAGTGCCATTTATCCAACACCTGTGGAGCCRTCTCAGGTATTCTTTGTGGGTGAGGAAACCAGAATATAGGGAAAAGTCTGGAATTGCTTACATACCTCTGCAGAAGCACACCATAGCTTCTAAAAGCAACCAAATGGGCATTGTCAGTCCACAGGCCAGCTGGGTGAAGAGTCCCCCTTTGTTTTATGCCCTTTGTAAGGAACTCTGTCTGAGCCTTGTATTTCTGGTAGTGCTMTATGGGTTGTATAGCAAGCAGTACAGCTGAAAAGGAAAATAGGAAATCCTTTTTCCTCTTTAACCAACATTTTGTTTCTTTATTAAACATTCCAAGGGGGAGTGGGTGAATGGATCGCCTGTGTGTGTGTTTGCATGTGTATGTAACAGAAATCTGGGGGAGCCTTTTAGGTTAGCAGATGACTCTCAAGAAAAAGTATACTGCTACCTGGCACTCTTCTTTTTTTTTTTAAATTTTTTATTAGAGCATAGTTATTCCTGGTAGCTAGGTTCATCCTGACAAAATCATATATGCACGGAATCTGACCCACTCCATTTCGGTCTCCAATTCTCCCCCTCTCCCCACGACCCCTGCCTCTATTTTYACTCCACTGACCCTCCCCTTGCTCTTCCATTTATCCATCCTGGGTTGGTGCTTTCCACATACACATATAGTTGAAATTCCCKGTGGTGTATTTATATATGCACATAACATGATTTTGTCAAATTCATTGCTCATTTCCTCCCTTTTTCTGCCCCTTCTTCCTCCCTCACAATCTCCTTCTTCTACTCCGCTGATCTTCCCTATATCTTTATGATATCAGATCCCCCCCCCCCATGCTTTTTTTTTCCTTATTTTGTTCTAATTTTGACAAATGAGAGGAAAACGTCAACCCTTGGTTTTCTGAGTCTGGCTTGTTCCACTTAGCATGTTCTCTAGTTCCATCTGTTTACTGTYAAATGCCATAATTTCATTCTTCTTTATGGCTGAGTAAAACTCCATTGTGTTATATACCACATTTTCTTAATCCATTCATCTATTGACGGGCATCTCGGCTGATTCCATAATTTGGCTATTGTGAATTGTCCCTCACTCTTTCTTTTTTCTCTTACCTATGTATGAGAGCTGCAATCCATTCCATTCTGAAATCCCCAAGAGTGCAGGAGCAATCTGTTTGCCTTTGCCATTCTTCTTTAAGGCATTGAGGGCAAAGTGGCTGCATCCTCTGGCTTTCCCAGTACCCCTCACAGGGACAAGGGAATGTGGCTTGAACCCTCCTCCCCCAAACTTGGCTTCAAAGTGATTCTCTTAATCTGCAGGTTGAGGTCATGGGTTCAGCCCTTTGGGCGCTTCTAGAACATCAAAGAATGATTTCAAAGTTGAAGATTTGTATGTAGCCCTGAATTTTTATAGACTATTTGGGAGTAATTTAGAAGCGGAGAAAAATAGTTATTTCTACTCCAGCTAATTTCTCTGTTTTTCTACACCATCCTGGCAGAAGTCTGTAGCTGCATCTGGAAGTGGATGAGAGCGAGTGGGATTTGGCTTGATTGGTTTATCTTTGCTGATTGTGTGATCTTCCCGAAAGTCCCAGGATACCTCCTCTGCGCAGCACTGATGTCTTGCAGAAATTATATCTGAGTGCGTTTGGCTGAACCAGCTAACCAGTTTTATTTCCCTTTGTCACTTGATGTTGCAAGGGGATTTCACAGTGTGTTCCATCTGCTCTAGGAAAGTATGTTGGCAGCATGGGAAACTCTGAAAGCCTTCCCTGATTACTCTCCTGAGTTTTCTACTTTGGGTAAAATTCAAAGCAGTGTGTATATTGCCAATATTACAATAATAATATTGCCATAGTGCATCTAGTTAAGGACTTGGAACTTTTTTTTAATAGGTAACCATGTAAAACTGGCATTTTATAGGTTAAAAAATATAGAATATTAACCATTTCATATGTTTTTAAACTTAATTTGGATTTAAAATGTGAAGGGGTTAAAACGTCCATTCATTAGAGAATTTTTTGAGCTACAGTTTCTCCTTTAAATTTACCTTAATTTCATATTGCCAGTCTAGCATTTGTATTTATAAAGAACACTATAGCTCAACCACTATTTAATATTTTTTTCTATATTTTTTGATAAATATTTATTTACCATTGATATTTAAAATGAAATACAAACTTCTAAAACACTGTTCTTTTTCTCAAAACCTAAGGCTCTTTTACCCTTAAGTATAATTGAATTCTTTGTTCCTAGGCTCATCATACCATATAAAAAAATACTTTGAACAAAAAGTTTCAATAAGGAGATATTCATGTCATTTTCTAAAAGGTCTCACTYGTCGGTATGTTGCATCATAAAAACAGACTCTTAACCCTTTCCAGAGAATGCTGTTTAATCACATTGGAGATGGGGCCTTGCCGCGAAGTGACCCAAATCTTTCTGCCCCTGAGAAAGGTGGGTATCTACCAGCCCCCTCCTCAGTCCTGGGATGTACAAGGGTTTGTTTTGTCCTCATTTTCTCTAGTCTTCCGTGTGTCCTGTGGAAGGCAGGGCTCTAGGTCCTTAATGATCAGGACTAGTATACTCTTTAGGGAACTAATGAAAGACAGTATTCATGGAATGGATCCATTCTTCATTAACTGAGATTTAAGGGCAGAATCTGAGCAACTTAGAAATGCCTCTGTTGAATGACTTTTGTTGTCTTTCATTGAGTCCCCAWGTAAAGCCTGTTCTTCCTGAAACAAAGTTGCCAATTAGGTTACTTGTTCAGCACAATGAAAATAGCAACTTGGCAGATTGATTCTGCGGTCCCTATCCTTTGTCTCCCTTACAAAGCCCATTCAGCCAGCTCATCTGTTGTTTGTGGTGACTCAGATATGGGTCTTGTACAATTAAATATTATTAAAAATTGCAATCCAGTGCATAACGGAGTGTGCCCTGCTCAAGGTCACACACACGTGCAGACACACACAAATGAGAACCAAATCATGCATCTGAATAAGCAGCCAATTAGCATTAGTTTTGCAACATGGGCAGAAGATGAAGAGCAGATTAAATGTCACTTCTTCAACTGTGGGGGGTGGGGGTTTGCAGCAAGTCACCAATTTGCCGCTTCAGGGTCAGGCCTCAAAAATAGGAGTAGTCCCACAGGCCAATGAATCAAGAGTCCCTAATGAAACGTCCTGGTAAAGTACACTTTAATTGCCCTCATTAAAAACTAGACTGTATTGTCATTTGGGTACTGACACATTAACATTAAAACTTTCCAAAAGAAGATGGAAATTAGTGAGGCCTTAGCCAAAATAATTTTAAAATGCTAATTTAACTTTAATGTTTTGAGTCAAGCATTGATCTTTGCCRCTAGAACTTGGGTGGTGTGCTGTTTTTCTCATCTCTTCTATCAAAAGAGAACCACAAAGCAAATTTAAAAGGAATAGAGGAAAAAATATCTTAAGAGTCATTCCACTCCGTTAAATGAAAGTGGTAATTCAGTGGGAAAATGTGGAMATTTTCAACATGTCCAGGAGATGGCAGTATCTATACAGGGAGTGAGCTCCTGGAACTCCAGGCAGACTTCATTGCATAGTGACTGTCACCAACCTTGTCAGTCCTGCCCTGGTTCCTGGCAGGATTGTTCTATATTCCTGCATCTCAGTGAAGCATGGAGCAGATAGATCACAAAATAAGAATGGCACTCAGTATTCCAAATGGTTTCCTTAGGACATACTTCACTGCAATCCACTGATTTCGGGAACAAGACTTCTTTCTTCAAAGAATTGGTCAATGAGGTGGCGTGGTACAGCCATGCTTTCCCAGTAGTTCTGCCAAACAAACTGTTGAAATATTAGGATGTCATTGCCTTCTCCCTTTTTGGGTGCCACATGTCCATAAATTTCCACTAAAAAACAAGTTTTAAAATAGACCAGTGACTATATCTTCCATCTGTCTCCCAGCATCTAAACACATTTGTAATTCTCAACAAGTTTCTATACTCTGGCATAGAGATTTGTAGTCCTGTTTTACAGTTTAGGGAATTAAAGAGACATGCTAGCCTACAATTAAATGTCAACTCTGTCAGGTAGCCAATTAAACAGAGTTTGGGTATTCAGGAGGTTTTCCTCTTTGTTTTTTGTTTTTTTGTTTTTTTGTTTTTGTTTTTTTTTTTTTTTGGTTTTTCATTCTGAATAATTCTGGATTTTTGCATTCTGGATAATTCTGACTTTATTCTAATATCTCAAGTGTTGGAAAAGCAAAGCTGGACCATGTGTTTTTAGCTGTGTTATTCCCTTCCAGCTGTGAATCCTACCCCTAGCAGCTGGAGCCTGGACAGTGGGAAAGAAGCCAAGAACATGTCGGATAGTGGGAAACTTATCTCTCCCCCTGTCCCTCCAAGACCCACACAGACTGGTGGGTATTTGAAGCATTTGAACAATTAGTTTTGTAAACTAACTTTTACTCACTACTCCAACTTCTCCTCAACTCCTCAAAGAAAGGTGGGCGTTTGTTTCTGAGGTGAAAGCCTTGGTAGCTGCATAGTTCTCCCCTTTCCCCAGCTTCTGTTACATGTCCAACATGGTCCATTTCTAATGAAGCCCTCAGGCAGATTTTGTCAGTGCTCCCCAGTCACCATCTTCAACCCTCTAACCCTGCTGGGCCACTCACGTTTCCTCCAGCCTTTGCTTGAGCCACCTGGTTCCTATCACCCTCTGCTAACCCAGGCACTCTCCTCAGTGTCATTCAGGACTCATGCCAAGGTTTCAATTGCCCCTAAATAGGAATTAACTAACAGCAATTTYGATGGGCTTCTGGCATTCATAATTACCTGCTGCTTTCTAAGTCTGGATGCAAGGGGAGTGTTTTTCAAAGGTCGATGCAAGGCACTGCATTCCCTAGGATCCTAGCTCACAAAGCAGATTCTGAGACCTAACCTCAGCCATACTGAATTAGAATTTTAGGATTTCTGAGAAAAGAACCTTGTGTCTGTATTTTTACCACACCTTTCAAGTGATTCTCATGCTTACTAGATTCTGAGAACCTCTGGTAGTGGTTTCTGAGAAACTTCTGGGATGGGGTAGTTCAGTGGTAGGTGTTATGTTTAGTACATGCAAGGCTCTGGATTCAAACCTCATCACCAAAAAGAAAAGAAAAGAAATTTCTTTCATGCRTGTACAGCAATAAGAGGCCACTTTCCTCCTGAATGGAGACTTGAATGTGGAGTTTTGATGTTGTTTTGGGTTTTTTTTGTTTGGGTGGTTGTTATTTGTTTTTGTTTTTGTTTTTTGGTACTGGGGATTGAACCCAGGGGTGCTTAGCCACTGAGCCCTATCCCCAGCTATATATATATATATATATATATATATATATAATTTTTTTTTTCAATTGAGAGGCTGAGTTGCTTAGGGCCTCACTAAGTTGCTGAGGCTGTCTTTGAACTCATGATCCTCCTGCTTCAGCCTCCTGAGCTTCTGGGATTATAGGCATTGCACCACCACACTGGGCTGGAGCTGTTTTTAAAAGTGTCCTGTCCTACATTACTGACTCTGCTTATTCTGGCTTTGGGGGTCTTCTCAGCACTTACCTATGTCAAAAGGTGACTTGAACTTTACAAATATAGTTGCCCTAAAAATAAGAGAAAATATGACACTGTTTTTTCCATAGATTTTTCTTCACTGATCTTTCATATTTCATTTGCTGTATTCTAGCATCTTGTTCTGTTTCTTTTTTACTAAGAAAGTTGACTTTACCTTTTAAAAATAATCTACATGCTACCCAGTTTGTTCTAAAATTGTCAAAGCTGAAAGTCAAGTTACCTATAATTTTTGAAAGGCACATGAGACCTTTAAACAAAACAAGAAATTACTTTAAGCTTATTGATCATCTGCATCACTGTGTCAATGTGATGACAGGAGATTAAGACACATCAGCCAATTTTTTTTGTATTTCATTTGTGATTCACATAGATTCAGGCTGTCTCCAGTTCAAACCTGATTGTGTCCCTACAGTTAGGAACTTTAAAGGCATTTTTTAAAGGAAAAACAATGTTARTAATATTAGCAATAATGTTAATAATAATTATTATCATCATCATCATCATTATATTGATGGTAGTTAGGTTCCTAGGCCAGTTTCAACCTGAAGACAAGGATATTAATGGAACCATTTTTAGCCTTTGTGGGAAAATGCTTTTCCAGAGAAGGATCTGTGAACCTGCACTGAGTGCCAAGGCCACCATGGAGATGTCACCACCTGCCTGAGTCAAGAAGAACAGGAAACCTTGACTTCTGCCACAGGCATGACATAAATATAGCTCCCAATCAGGATTGGCTTCTCTGTATATGCATGATTTCTTCCATAATCAGTACCCACAGTTGATGAGCCACGAGAAGTAGCCCTTGTGTTAGAAGGTGACATGTCTGACAGCATGCCACAGCCAAGTGAAGGCTACACCCACCATGTGACAATAGATCACTCTTCCTGTTCCCTTAGGAGAGTGACCTTCCTTCTCCCCAGGTAACTTGGCAGGGCGGCCATCCCTTCTGCACTGATTGCCCTCATGGTCTGTCCTGATGTCATCATCCGTGGTCACTGTTGTAGGCCTCTGTAACTGTCTGTCTTTCTTCCTTTCAGCTTTTCTGTGGTTTTCTTAGGAGTTACAAACCTTACTGTGACAACTGGGAGAGTGGCAGCTAATCACAAAGCAACATATCCTGAATTCACTTCAACTTCTCTGTGTGGAATTGGGAAGTGTGGCTTGCCCTCCCCCTGGTGACTGTGTCATATGCAGCTTTCACCCAGCATAGTCACGATCTAGAGAACTGGATATGATCCACAGGCACACACAGAGGGGGCAGTGCCACCATGCATGCTATGTCCCAAGTATAAGACTTAAAAATCTAGTTAAAGAGCAAGGAGATCACTTTTCTGGCCATGATGACAAAATCCATTGAATACCACCACCCATGGGACAAAGGGAAGACCCGAGAACAGTGTTGGGGGAAGAAATGACCAAGGCTTTTTGTCTGTTTGGGGAGTATTGGGTTGGGCTGTGTAAAAGGAGTTTGATTAAATATATTCCCATGGACCTATTCTAAGCTGCCTGGATGGCCTTGGTCTTCCCATTGCAGCCCAGGCCAAAGCCCACAGCTGTCTCCCAAGGACTGCTCCCTGGCACCTCACACCTAAAAGCACCTTACCAGGTAGAGGGATCAAACAGTGGAGAAGCATCTGGACATTAGAGAAATAGAAAGGGCCTTGGACCAATTTGGGGCCCTGTCACTTTGGTCAAAGCATCATGTGTGCACTGGCAACTTTTCGCTAATTGGCTCAGGTCTTAGTAATGCTATCCTTTGTGAAGAATTTGATGGGCCTCGTTTCGCTTCTCCCCTGTCCCTACCCTGCCTTGCTTAGGAGGGCCTTATACACTGGATCATCTATAGGGCTTGAACACAGAGGGTATTTGCATATGGTCAGATGTCTGATTTTTCTTAATTAAAATGTTATCTCTCTCCATTCACAGCTTCACCAGCAAGACACACAACATCAGTATCCCCCTCACCTGCTGGGCGGTCTCCATTGAAGGTACAGACCCTTCTTTAGACTGAGACTAGAGACTAGCCCAGGTTCCTTTATGCTGTAAGACTCATCCCAGACAATTGAAAGGTGTTTTCATTTGCCCAGACAAGGATATACAAATAAGAGGTAGGGGAAGGATGGGTAAGAAAAACTCTGGATTTTCCCCTTGGGGAGCCTTCTCCATGAATGCAGCTATTTGTTTTTGGATTATTAGCCTCACTCCCCAAATAGTAGCAATGAGAACTTAAAAACTATAGTCAGTATGTATAAGGAATTAGGAAAGAAATATGGTCCCAATGAATTTTTAGGAACATTTTCAGCCTATTCTGTTGCTTTAAGGTACTTTGCACAACACACACACACACACACACACACACACACACACACCACGCTTGAAAAACATCAGTAACAAAGATCTCCTAAATATTCTACTGTGGGTGTTTTGCCTTTATCATCAGCCTCACCTGTTTTGACAAAGTGAAGTTCAACTCTCTTTTTAATATTTTATACCAAGATTGTCATTCACATTAGAATTACATATTTAGTCATGAAAAACAAAATGGTAAAGTGGATAAAAAAATTTCTGGAAACAAACTGAGAAAGGTTTAAAGGTCAGAGTTTTAAATTGGTGTGTAGATACAGGCTGCTGAACATCTCTAAACATACAAATCCCTCATGAAGATAAAGAATAATATTTAGTCTCTATCCAAATTGAATCAGACTGGCTGCAAGTCTTGTTAGTACATATGAGAGGTTGGTGTTCAGAGCTGCAGCACCAGAAGCAAATAAAAGGTTGAAGTAASTGTTGAAAGGACGATTTTGTACCTGAGCGACTTAGGATTTACACGCTCCATGTCCTTCTTGTTGATGAGATGGTTCTAGCTAATGTGAAAAAGACAAATTAGCCTCTATAAACACATAGGGGCATGTTGTGATCCCAGGCATCTGTGCTGCCAAGGAGAGTTGCTGATATAGAAATGGAGATTCTGGAAATCAAAACAAAAAGAAAAGGAGAAAAATCACAAAGAAGTGTGATTTCATTTGTGTTGCCCAGAATTTCTGACACATAAATTTGCTTATCAGTGGAAATTATTTGCTAGTTTTGTTGTCTTTCTGCAATGCAGTGTTATCATAGAGTACACAGACAGCATTTGCTTTGGAAGCCATTGCCTGTCATCCTGATGTGAGGAAAGGAAAGCAACATGCTTTTCCACATTTTTACATGTACTTACTGGCAAAGAGCTCCACATGTTGCTGTGAAATTATCATATGTGTTTTTCAACTTGATTTTGCAGAGTAGTAATAAGATAATAAGTAGTCTAAGGAATTAATTCCTAAAAAATAAGAAGAATCCAAGGCCTGAAAATGTTCAAGTAGCTATCAAACAGTTCTAGTTAGCAAACTGATATATGTTCTCTACAGACCTGCATATATTTTTACTGGCCATGGATAATCTTGAAGCCATGCCTTTGTAAATGGGGCTTGAAAGAGGAGAAAATAGATTGAACGTTTGTGTTGTAACACCTGGATTACATTAGAGGGCACACTGCTACCAAGTTGTTAAATTTAATATGATTAGAATGCATTGTGCTGTCCTAAGTGGTAGAATTCGATTTTTTTTTCAACAGTTAAACAATGGAGTTAAGCTTTTAGAGGAGACTTAACTTACCTGCCTTCTTTTGAATTTGAAATCTAATTTTTGACAAAGACAGCAGTGAATGTGGATTTAATTAGCTATGCTTTATTTTACTGTCTATTAAAGGAAATGATTGGTGTTTACCAGCRTTATTTTGTTGAAAAAGAGAGACCAAGGTAAAGTTGGGCCACTGTAGCATTTCTCAAAGTATGTTCCATAGAATATTGGACCTGTGTTATTAGTGGAAAATTGTTCTATGGTCAAATAAAATTAGAAAACACTGGGCTAAACAGAGTTATTCAGGTCTCTCTATTATAAGACTTTGCATGTTAATATGATTTCAAGGTACWTAGGAACATTTCCCAGTGGAACCCTTCTTGGAATATATTTTAGGATTTGCTGTCCTTAGATTACCACCTGGGGGAGCAACAGATTCAGATGCCAAATTGACCAGACTGCTGACATAAATGAGTTAAGAAGGCTGTGTAGAAAGCCATGTGGAGGAGTGGGGATTGTGGTGAATTGAAGCATTCATGCCATTGTTGCAGAACTTCCAGTTTTTTAATATAATATCAGAAACCTAGGATTTTGTGTGAAATTTTCCTATTTTAAAAAATTAGTAAATTAGAAACTAATAATTTAAAATTAAAAATTTAACATTAAAAATTAAATTTGTTTTAAAAAAAAAAAGTAGCGGATGGAACTGCTCACAGCTTAGGCTGGAATCTGAGGGCTCAGTTTACAGCTTCATCTCAGGAGTCTGAGCAAAGTCAGAAGAATCAAGTGCAAGGCCTCTTGACTAGTGGGAAGTGCCCTACCTACATGTCCTCAAGCTGCCCCTGTGTCCTGCAGTTGTGAACTGCTGGCCTGCTGAGCTAGAAAAGCAAAATGGAGTCCCCAAGGCTGCTTTCACCAGTTGCCTTTCTTTCAAGCTGGATATAGGACAGTGGTTTGCCAACAAATTCCCTGGCTGGTATCTTTCATCCTCTGTTTGAAAATGATAAGAAGTCAAGCCGGCATTGAGGTGAACTGGATGCATGAGAGGCTGGCAGATAAGTGTCAGATGTGCTTGACCACCGCTCATGTTTGAGTCTGGGTATTTGCATTAGTCAGCTTGGGTTCTCATAACAAAACACTATAGTGTGGGGCTTAAACGGCAGAACAGTTCTGACAGCTAGAAGCCCAAGATTAAGGTCTTAAAAGTCTTGATTTCTCCTAAGAACTCTGGCTTGAGATGGGCAGCTGGCTCTTAACATCTTCATATAATCTTTTTTTTTTTTCTGAATACCAGCATTGCTCTTTGATACCGAAATTCCTCTTTTTATAACAGAAAGTAGTCAGATTGCATCAGGGTGGGTTTAACTTGGTCCCTTCCTTGAAGTTGGCTGCAAATACAGCCACCTGATGCGGTTCTGGAAGCCAGGGCTTCCGAGCGTGGACTTGTATGTGGGTGGTGGGATGTTCAACCCACCAGTGTCCCTGACYCTGCCGTCTCCCCTCTTTCTTTTCCATCTCCCCCTCTCCTTGCCTTGGGAGCAGGGCTCTGTGCAGTCTTTCACCCCATCTCCGGTGGAGTACCACTCCCCAGGACTGATCTCCAACTCCCCGGTCTTGTCGGGMAGCTACAGCAGCGGGATCTCCTCTCTCAGCCGGTGTAGCACGTCGGAAACCTCAGGCTTTGAAAATCAGGTGAACGAACAGGCGGCCCCAGTGTCGGTGTCCAGCTACGCGGGGCCTGGACCCGAGGAGCCGGTGCGCAAAGAGAGCAAAACCCCACCCCCGTACAGCGTGTACGAGCGGACTCTGCGGCGCCCGGTCCCGCTACCTCACAGCCTCTCCATTCCCGTCACTTCTGAGCCACCGGCCTTGCCCCCCAAGCCGCTGACAGCGCGCACCAGCCACCTGGAGAACGGGACCAGGAGGACTGAGCCCGGCCCGAGGCCCAGGCCCCTGCCCCGGAAGGTTTCTCAGCTCTAAGTCACTTTTCCATGTACCTGCGATGAATACCTGGCCGTTTACAAAATAAGACGTATGATGAGAAGACATTTAGTGTAGGCACTTTAATAACTTACTCAGATCTTTCTTTACATGAGTGGAATTAAAACTTGCTTATTAATATAATGTTGCACAATATTAAAAGTTACTGATCTAAAGCCCAGATGTTACATGAAGTAATGGCTGAATCTCTCTGGAACGTTTCTCCTAGTGGTAAATAGTGATAAAGACTCTTTTTGTATCTTTTTATGTTCGCTTTTTTTTATATATATATATATAGTTTAATCTTAAAACCAATACAATATTGTCAAACAGTACAATGTGTGATAATGTTGTATACTTTTTACTGAATACTTGATACTCCGAGAAAGCTTATTACCRTCAATGCACATCCTCACACAATGGTCCTTACTTTAGAAGACTTCTGTAAATAAGGTGAGGTTTCTGGCTCTTTCCGKGAGCAGAATGTTCAGTGCACACCCTTGAATTGAAAGGTTAAAGCTAGTTAGACAATATATTAAGGGGTTGCAAGGATTGGGACTAGAAGTCATTTTGTTCTTGAAACAAAATGTTTCTTTAAGGTTGTTTTTGATGTTTGACAGCTGTCTGCATTCTTAAAACTCCACCTTGTGAATCAATTGCTAAATCCTTTAGTATCCTGACACCATGTTATCTACTGTATTTCTTTTCAAGGTGCAATTTGCTTTCAGAGTACCAATCAGCTAGATTAAGCAAAAGAYCCCAAGAGAAGTGTTTACTTGAATTTTGTGCTTCCTTACTTGAGAGTRTCCCATTTAAAATGTTTCATTGCAGAAGAGCAAGTGTTCAAGTATTAATAGGCACAAATTACTGTGTCCCATTAACAAGAATTCAGGAATCAATATAGGACAGTATTAAATCAATAGCGTAAATGAAGAAAAACACCTTTGTGAAAATATATGAGCATGATTAAATGGCAAAAGGACTTTCAAAAGGCAAGGGCATTAACTTTCAATCCTGCATAAAATTAAAAATTCCTCACAACTCTCTCTTCATRCCAGTGAAGCTTGTCTTCTAAGCTGATCCTGTGGTCCTTTTGTTAGAGGAGGATGATTATAGAATGTTCTAGCTTGAATATTGCAACRTAGCATCTTAGATCTAGATAGATAAGCTGATGCCGCTGTTGTAGGAGTGTGGAAAATGCACCTTGTATGTAGTAATGTATTTTGTATCTTTGTTTTTTTTCTTTTACTGACTGTTTATAACACTCAATTGACAATAGATATAAACTGTATTTTAAATCATACTGTTAAATATTTTCCCTCTTTTGTTGGGAAGCTCATTTTAGTTTAACCCTATTTGTTTTTGTTGATAGCTTACCTGGAAGGCAGTGACCACTTTTTTATATTCTCTTAATGAAACCATTCAGCAGGTATATGCTGTTGAGGCTGGTTATAGAGGTTTTCTATAATAAATGTTCAAGTATTTTTGTACATAACTGGTTAATTTTAATAAGAGATACCATTATGTGTAAAAAAAAGGTAAAAATAAAAGCAAACAGTTGTGGATACAGTATGATTGTTATAATTATGCCAAATACTTTATGTATGGAAAAAGAATATTTGTACATATGTGCTTTTAACAATAATTCTGCCATATTGACTTTACAATTTTGAATGTCAGAAAAATTAATATATGTTAAAATATTTATGTTTAGTGAAAGTATTCATAATTGAGGAAAGGAACAATTTTAGCTTTGTATCTTGCAAGTTTTGCAGTTGGAAATTTCTTGAACTAGCTTTCGCTTTTGATGATAACACTTTGTGTTTGTAATCATATCCATATATTTATATATATGTGTGTGTGTGTGTATATATATATACATACATATATATAAATGTAGGAAGCTCCATATTTCTATTGCTTTAAGAAGTAAAACCTTCCACTTAAATAAGATGACATGCATWAGATAACAAAGCTTCTTTGATTTCCTTTTCCTGTGTAATTTGATAGATTTCTTGACTAGTGCTTGGGCACAGAATAAATCAGTGTTATTTGCTCTTGAAGCCACTTTTTTTAAGAAAAAAAAAATTTTKGGCAGTGAACAGTTGAATTTATCATGTGCGTGTATTTCTAAAGCAGCTATATAGCAGAACATTTCAAGAGATTCCCTTAGCTCAGATGTTCATATTGGTTGCTGCTGGATGGTAAATATTAAATAAAGCTACCAGATTAATCTTCATATTACTGTCTTTATTCCTATCATCAGTGCGTCTTTACCAAGAATAGCAGCTATGTATTATTGGGCTCCAGTTAATGCACTTCTATTCTTTATGGCTCATTTATGCCATGAAGAACAAAGGGTGAAAAGAATCAGTGTGGGTCACTGTCCTGTGGAGAAGGTTACATTTTTCTGGGTGGCTGAACATTAACTGGCCTAACTAAGCCAATTTAACCAGTCAAGCCATCAGAGTTTCTTTGCATTAGAAAACTTGACACAACACAGGTACAACTGGGCAAGGGAATGACCTAGTGCTGCCTTTGCCAGCTGTGACATGCTCTATTTGCATGCCTGCTTTTATTCCCTGATTTTTATAAAATGTTATGGAATATATTTGACAGTCACTAAATCCAATGACTACAAGTTTTCTGTTAATAAAGACTGGCTTTTAATTTTGTGAGTTGTGTCTGTGCTGTGTTAGGTTTATGACATTCATGTAACTCAATGCTAAGCAAAGCACTGTCTAAAGCTTCTGTCCCATTAAATACCAAAACCCAGTTAAAGGCCATTGTCAACATCTTCCTGATTGTTTCTCAGCATTAACTAAATGACTTAAGTGTTTCTGGAGTATTTTCATAATAACTGAGCCTGTAAGTATTTCAAGTCTACAAGCATAATTACGATATGAATAGGTCAGTTTCCCACCTAAGAAGGCTTCTGTGTGCATTGTGATTGTTCTACAAAAGACAACAAAAGAATAGCAAATCACATAATCTTGCCTTTATTTGCTCTTTACACTTTAAAAGCTGGCTTTTACTATAATGAATTCTCATTTAATGATTAGATTATGTCTTGCCACCAATATATAAGGAAACCAGAAAAGGTTTGAAGATTTGACTATCAATCTCAACATGGCTGTTATTTTTTACATATCCCTTTTGTCTTTTTCTGCATTGTTGAGTTCCTGTTCCCCAAATATCACCAACAATGTTGATGATACAGGGCCGTGTCCATTGCTCAGCATATGAGAGAGCCCCGTCCTGACAGAGCTTTGGCCCTGTCTCAGAGGGGCAAAGACAAGATCAGATTTTATAGAAATTTTGGGGTTTTGTTTACAGTGGGTCTTTCATTGAGCAGGCTTTGATTAAGATTAAAGGTCAAGGTGCACTTGTGTAGGATGGGTGGAGACAGCAAGGCAGGAATTTTGAGTCAAAGTATGCAAAGAATCTTGGGACATAAACCATCCATTGGTGCTTTCTATTAAAGAGTTGATGGGTCCCTTGAGAAGTTCCTATTCTGAATAGTCATCATTCACCTGGACAAGAGATTTCCTGGAAGAATAGAATAATGCTAATAAACAATGGAATAAGTGCATTAGATKGCTGAATTTGTAACTGTGAAAGGTCTSCTACCTGATAAAGCCAGTAACTCAAGAGACAGAGTTATGGGAGAAGAAAGATCGTAAGTGACAACAAGATGGCAGGTGGAAGACGGAGGACTTTCTCCCAAATATCATYGTGCCAGGGTTACAGCCACAAAAGCACATATGGGTTTTATGGGGAGTCTGATTTTAGTCACAGCCAGGTGGGCACTGGAATGGTGATTCATGCTTGCAATAATTAATTCTTTTGACATGGTTTAGGTATTGCTCACAGGTCACCAGGCATTCCAGACATACCTGTCAACCTAAAGAAAGATTACTGGGCTGGGATTGTAACTCAGTGGTAGAGTACTTGCCTAGCATGTTTGAAGCCCTGGGTTTGATTCTCAGCACTGCATATGAATAACTAAAATAAAGGTCCATAAACAACCAAAAAAAATTTTTTTTAAAAGAAAGTAAGTCACTGACAGAGAGTCCTATGACTGGTGATGTTCTCTGATGTTTTCACTTATTCAAGCAGGGCTGACTTCATTGGTTATTCGTTTGGAGAATGATACAGGGGAGAGAGGTGAAACAAACAGTGAAAAACAGACTTGCTAGAGCCAGGAGCAATTTAACCCATTCATGGGCTTCAGTTTCATTTCTCAACATGTATGTTTTACATAGTTGTAATCACAGTGAATCTAGAAAGACTGCCTTATTTTTTGCTTAAAGTTATAGCAATTATTTTCATATTATCACATGCATATAAWGATTATTCCACAATTTAATGATTTCTTTGTTAATGAACATTCTATGATGCCTAATACTATAGTACTACAAATGACACCACTGAGACCTTCTCATTGCATACAGCTTTTTCAATGTTTTGCATTATTTCCTTAAAATGGATTTCAGACTGAATTGTAAAAAATAAACCAAATACATAAGAATTATGTTAAGCCAGGTGCAGTGGTGCACCCAGTGACTTGAGAGGATCAAGAGTTCAAAGCCAGCCAGCAACAACAAGGCACTAAGCAACTCAGTGAGACCCTGTCTCTAAATAAAATACAAAATAGGGCTGGGGATGTGGTTCAATGGGAGAGTGCCCCTGAATTCAATCCCTAGTACCCCCMAAAAAATATGTTAAAATATGTTTTGTTTAAAGAATGATGGCTTTGTAGTTCTCGTTCTCTTGTATAAGAGAAAAAAAATCATTTTCCTTGGATCTTTCCAGTTCCTAGCAGGCCTACCATAACAAAAGGTAGGCTAACAAGGAAAACAAACAGAAGTCTTTTAACGTGTACCTTATGTACCTGTGGGAGATGTCCAGAGAAAAATAAGCAACCCTCAAAGAAGTGGTTTAGAATTCAGGCTTAAGTACCACCTTCAACTAAAAACAAAGAAAAAGGGGTTGGGAAAGGAGGCTAGCTATCAGGAGGTGACCAGAAAAAGCAGAAAAAATGAGAGTAAAATTTAATGTGTCTGTTTCAGTTCCAGCCTTCWCAATTGATAAGAGTCTCTTGTGATTCAGCCATCTTTGTCTTCCTGGCACAGTGAGGGAGACCCCCTTACAAATGGAGATTTCCCTCATTGATGTGAATTTCTGGTACTAAAGGGTATCTTCTATTTCCAGAACATCTCCCATGTCTGATGTTTCTCAAAATAATCATCTCAAAATAATCTTTATGTCAGAGAGGCATTTTGTAGGGTGGGATATTTTGGTCTACAGTCATATCTTGGGGTGGCATATTCTGGTCTTCTATACATAAATATAGGTTATTTCTGAAAACGGTTGCACCCATTTTGGGGGCACTAGCAGCATAATTTTGTGGCAATTTTTTCAAGATTGGCTATCATGATATTACTTTCTTTTCCCCCCTCTAATTTAATATATAGGAAGAAACTTGCTGCTGTACCTAAACTTTGAGAACATGTTAATAAAGCAATTAAGTATTTTACAGAATCCTGRGCTAAAGAATTGGTACCCTGATAAAGTAAATAAAAGGGGGAGATGAAAAGCAATAGGCAGCCATGCACAGTGGTGCGTACCTATAATCCTAGCTACTCCAGAGGCTGAAGCAGGAGGATCTCAAGTTAAAAATCAACCTGGGTAACTTTTTTTTTTTTTTTTTTTGGTAACAGAGATTGAACCCAGAGGC